TGAACAGGATGGAATCATTTCAGATTTAAAGAACTTTCAGAAGTTTGAATTCTAAATATGAGCGACTTCTCCTTTAAATACCAGCAGGCCATAACGAAAATGAGCTTAAATGAAACAAACAAATCTATTTTTAAATGTAACTTGTAGAAAGTAAATAATTGTCTAGGTCTGGGTTTTGCATGGAAGACTCATGAAAAAACAGCTCTATAGTAGATGCTACCCAACTATAGCACGTTTCCCTCAGTGTCCGTTTCATGTTCTGCTATCTATTGTTCCAGCCTCATTAAACTCAAAAATTAAAGGACAGCCAAACAACACAAGGTCATATATAAAAATAAAGAAAAATATGTTGTTGCACATCTGTCACAGTGTTTTATGAAAGGGTGCGGTTGGATTTGTGCAGTCCCTGTCACACAGACTTAGAAACAGGACTTTTAGGAGGGGAAGTGTGATGTTTCTCCTTTGAGGAGTTAGCAGTGGGTAGGGTTGGAGTTTATCCACGTATAATCTAATATTAAAGCACGAAGCTTGTGACCTCAGATCACCTCACTTCTCGTTCTGCCGTTTGTACTTGTGAGTTCTCGTGTGCTTGTGAAACGTCATCAGCCATAGTACCGTTCCAATTCACAACAACAGCAGAGCGAGAACAGACAAAGTCCCCCCAGCAGTGGGCTGCCATTGTTTGAGGTTTAAGGGTCTTACTCAGGGACCCAGAGTGGCAGGTTATGAACTCAGAACCTCCAAACCCCCAGTGCAATGATTTAACCACCAGGCCGCCGCTTCCCTAAATGCTTTGTGTGGTTACCATGGAAACAAGAGGCAGCGTGTTTATCAAATAGTCCCAGGATGGATAGTTTCTCCTTCGTTGCTGCTTCCACCAACTCTATAGAAATGCTGTGATTCCTGCCATGTGATTGGCTGTCACCATGGCAACGAACAGCTAACCAGGAGGTGGCCGTAACCAACAGGTAAGTCAGAGTAAAAGTCTAAACGATGTTCTGAAACCTTTGGGCCTGTTGAACCCACCCAGGAACAGGAACCCACTGGTGACGCCTTGCAGCGTCGCTGTCCGGCTGCAGGTGAAGGCGTGCGTTAGCTTCCTGGCGTTAGCTTCCTGGCGTTCACACGCGCTCCGCTTTCTGCACCACCTCTACTTCCTCTCTGTGTCAAGTGTGAGTCAGAGATGGAGGAAAAGCAGAAGTGTCTAAAACTGGTGTAACAGTGATGGGGGGGGG